AGAGACAGAGCATAAGTGGAGGAGGGGCAGAAAGAGAGGGAGACACAGAATCTGAAGCAGGCTCCAGGCTCTGAGCTGTTAGCACAGAGCCCGATGAGGGGCTCGAACTCACAGACCATAAGATCATGACCTGAGCCGAAGTCAGAGGCTTAACCGACTGAGCCACCCAGGCGCCCCCATTTTAAATTTTTTTTAGTCTCTATAGTTAGAGTCAGGCTTTGTCAGCAAGGAAGGGAAAGGTGGGAAATGTCAGTAAGGTACCTACAGTTTCTACTACAGGGAGTGACTCTCTAGCTATGATCTGAACAAAGAGGATGACTCGAGAAGAGGAAAGGAAGAACACTCCAGTAGGCAACAATCTGCAAAACGCTCTGCAGCAGGACAGAAAGACTAGGTCAAGAGATGAAGGTAGAGGACGAACCATGTGGAGCCTGTCAGATCAGGATAAGGCATTTTCTTCTGAGGGAAATGGTAAGCCATCGGAAGAGATTCATACAGGTGACATGATCATATGTTCATTTCCAAAGTGGAGTATAAATTGGAGGCCAGAATGATTGTGGTAACCCAGTCGGGACCAGTGCGGATCTCCAGGTAGATCTCCAGGTAGAAATAAGATTAAAAATTATACAGTTTACTGGGGCTCCTGTGTGCCTCAGTTGGTTAAGTGCCCAACTTCATCTCAGGTCATGATCTCGAAGTTCATGGGTCCAAGCCCGTTTAGGGCTCTGCGCTGACAGCTCAGAACCTAGAGCCTGCTTCACATTCTGTGTCTCCCTCTCTTTCTGCCCCTTCCCCTCTTGCACTCTGACTCTCTCTCTCCCTCAAAAATAGACATTAAAACAATTACATAGTTTACTAATTCTGTAAGTTAAGTAAAAAGTATTTCATATGATCAATATTTATTGCAGAATTAGAACAATTGTTCCTGGAAGCATTGCTGTGAAAATAAAGTTAAGTTTATGTTCATCGCTGGAGGGAGACTGGCCTTATTTACTGGGGATTTTTCTACCTTATAATTCATACTTACCAAAGAAAGTTCATAAAATACTAAACTTATGAAAAATGCTAATGAGGAAAAATAAAGCAAGGGAGATACAGGGGCTAGTGTCAAAATTTTAGATAAAGTAGTAAAGGACTTGACTGAGAAGGTAACCTGTGAGTAAAGACCTGAAGGAGATGAGAGAGAGAGAGAGAGAGACAGACAGGTATACACCTGGGGAGAGACAGAGACAGAGACAGAGAAGTATTCCAGACACAGAGGAAAGTAGGCACAAAGGCCTTGAGATAGGAGTGGGCCTGGCATGCTGCAGGGATATCAAAGATGCTAGTGTGTCTAGAATGCAGTGAGTAAAGGCGCGGTAGGTCAGAGAGCCCTTAGAGTGCCTGTGTACAGGCCTTCATATGTTATAATAATACGATCTTTGGCTTTTACTCCAAATGAGGTAGAAAGTCCTCTAGGGTTCTGAATAAAGGAGTGGCTTGGCCTAACTTTTGTTTCAATAGCTCTGATTGCTACCTGGAAGCTATTAGAAGCCTAGTGCAAGAATTCACTCAACAGGTGATGGTGGTTTGGATCAGAGTGGTAATAGGAGAGGTAGGGAAAATAGTCACATTCTGAACACTTTTTAAAAAGTTTATTTAGGGGCGCCCCGGTGGCTTAGTCGGTTAAGCGTCCGACTTTCGCTTAGGTCATGATCTCGCGGTTCGTGGGTCCGAGCCCCGCGTCGGGCTCTGTGCTGACTGCCAGCTCGGAGCCTGGAGCCCGTTTCTGAGTCTGTGACTCCCTCTCTCTCTGACCCTCCCCTGCTCACGCTGTCTCTCTCTCTCTCTCTCTCTCTCTCTCTCCTAGAAATAAATAAAAATAAAAATATTTTTAAAAATGACTAACCTGGACTTCATCAAAATTTAATACATTTACTGAGCAACAGACTCTGTTAAGAGGATGAAAAGACAAGCTACAGATGGGAAAATTTTGCAAACCACATATCTGATAAAAGACTCATATTCGGAATATATAAAGATCTCTCAAAATATAACAGGCAAAAACAAATAATGCAATTAGAAAATGAGCAAAAGACATGAGACATTTAACTGAATAGGATATACAGATGGCAAATAAGCACATGAAAAGATATTTGATATTATTAACCATTAGGGGAGTGTAAAGTAAGGCCATGATGAGATATCATGACATACCTATTATTAATATTAACCAAGCTAAAATAAAAAATAGTGAAACACCAAATGCTGGTGAGGATAAAGAGAAACTGATTTTTTTTTAATGTTTTATTTATTTCTAGGAGAGAGAGAGAGAGAGAGACAGCGTGAGCAGGGGAGGGTCAGAGAGAGAGGGAGTCACAGACTGAAACAGGCTCCAGGCTCTGAGCTGGCAGTCAGCACAGAGCCCAACGCGGGGCTCGAACCCACGAACCGCGAGATCATGACCCAAGCGAAAGTCGGACGCTTAACCAACTAAGCCACCCAGGCGCCCCAAGAGAAACTGATTCTTATACATTGCTAGTAGGAATGTAAAATAGTATAGCTACTTTGAAAAACTGTTCGGTAGTTTTCTAAAAAAACAAATCTATGTGAATCACATGACCCAGCATTGTGCTTTTGAACACTTATGAACACACTTATCCCAGAGAAATGAACACTTATGCCTACATAAAAAATGAGTATTCATAAGTTTTATTTATTTATTTTTAAAATGCATATGATTTTGAAAGAGAGTGAGAGCAAGTGAGCTCCTGTACGTGGATGTGCACAGGTGCAGCGGAGGGGTATAAAGAGAGGGAGGGACAGAATCCCAAGCAGGCTCCATGCTCAGCAAGGAGCCCAATGTGGGGTATGATCTCACAACAATGAGATCATGACCTGAGCAGACGCTAAGAGTCTAATACTTAACTGACTGAGTACCCAGGTGCCCTGCAGTTTCATTTTTAATAGACAAAAATGAAAAACAACAAAAATATTTCATCATAGGTGAGTGGTTAAACAAATAGGTATGCTTGTACATGTATCTTACTGTATTTGCTTTTCTGGAGGATCCTAATACACCAGGAATACTACTTAGCAATAAAAAGAAATGCACTATTGATATATGTATTAATTTGAGTGGTTCTCAAGGGCAATATGCTGAGTATAAGAAGTCAATCTCAAAAAGTCATATGCTGCATGAGTCAATTTATGGAACATACTTGAAATGTCAAAATTATAAGAACATAAACAGTACCATTGAACTTGGAACAACATGGGTTTGAACTATGCAGATCTACTTATATATGAACTTTTTTCAATATAGTACAGTACTGTAAATATATTTTCTCTTCCTTATGGTTTTCTTTTTTCCTTTTAAAACAGAAACAATTTTTTAAGTAAATTCTACACCCAACATAGGGCTCAAACTCACAAAGAGTTCTTAATATTTTCTTTTCTCCAGCTTACTTTATTGTAACAATACAGTATAAAATATACGTATTATGTGTTAATTGTTTATGTCACTGGTAAGGCTTCTGGTCAATAGTAGCCTATTAGAAGTTAAGTTTAGAGGAGTCAAACATTATATGTGGACTTTTAACTCTTCAGGTCCTCTGAGCCCCTGCATCGTTCGAGGGTCAACTGAATGGTGACCAAGAGCTGTGACTTGGGAGTTATTATAAAATGGTAGCACCATGGCGATCTTTGTGGCATAAAACAGTTCTGAATCTTGATTGTCATAGTGGTGTCACGAATTGACACATGTGATAGAATGATACAGGACTATCCCAACATTATATCAATGTCAGTCTCCTGGCTTTAATGTGTACTAGAGTTATGGAAGATGCAATCTATGGGAGAAACTGGGTGAAAAATCTGCATTATTTTTGCAACTTCTTGTGAAATCTATAATTATTTCAAAATAAAAACTTTAAAAGAAAATCCCTCTGTGACATCTCTCCTTTGCCTTCCTTCATCTTTCTGTGTGTTTCCCTTTTCCCTTGACATGGTTTTCTCTCCTTAGAGCCAGGTGTTAGGTGCTATAGTGTTGAATCTTTCTTTTCCCTCTTTCCTTACGCATTGAGTTTTCTTTTAATTGGTCATAAGGCAGAACCAAGTTATCTGCCATATTCCTGTTAATCCTATTCTTTTAATAAACGTCATGTTTTCAAGTGCTTAATTTTAAAAGCAGGAATCTTAAAAAAACCTTTTTAAAAATAAACCCCACAAACTAATCTTTTATTTTAAATAATTCATAGTTAATCGTTTTTAAGGTCAGTGGCTTACAATACAAGGATGTTTCCAATACTTGTCTCAGAAGATAATTTTTGTTTTATATGTACGAAGCATTAATAATATTCTTGGTGTATATGTATTATGATCGCACATTCAGAATTTACTGGGAAGGCAGGGACTTCAAATATTGTGTTCTATTAGTTTTTCATATGAACCCACATGTCAAAAAAAAAAAAAATCATCCTTTTCCGGGCCATGTGTCCAAACTGGAAAATATGATCGTTACAACTAGAGAACATCAAACTAAATACAGCCCTTTCCTGAGGGCTTACATACTGAATCTGGCAACACTTTGGAAAAGTACTACTTTAGGTTCTCAAGAACCCAAAGAGCCCTCTGGCTCTTCCAGTGGGCTCAGCCCTAAATATGCTGAGCCCTTTGAAAAAATTATGAGTTGCAGGTGTTTAAAATTTCCAGGTTTTTTGTGTTTCTGCGTGTATGTGTGTCTGTGTGGGGGTGTCTTTATTCATTAAATAACCAGTAAACAACCAGTCCTAACAACAAACAATGATTACAATTTGTGGAGGTAATATTTACACAATGCACTGCTGCATTTTCCTTCCATTCACTTTCCTTCTTATCTCTTTCATTCAAACCTCTCCCCTTTTTTCTGAACTCCAGTATTTAACAAAACGCCAAACCAAGATGAAATTAACGAAAGCCCACTCCATTACGATGTAGTTACAGAGGCTCGAGAACGAAGGAAGTTTGTCCCTTCCGGTGATCCGTTCTGGCGTTTGCCTGCAGCAAGATGGCGGCGGTGTCAATGTCAGTGGCGCTGAGGCAAATGTTGTGGGGGAAAAGGGCAGTGGCCGTAGCTGCCGTTTCCGCTTCCAGGGTTCCTACCAGGTAACAGGATTGTCAGGCTTCTTTTTCAAGCTTCTGGGGTCTCTCCACTTTTGCGGAGGTCCTGCTGGCTGGGTTCCGGAGAAGGCCTCTGGGAAAGCGTTCTCCGTTGACCCTTTCCTCCGGAGAGGGCGGTTGGATTTGGGACTAGCTGCTTTTCAGGGGCACTGGCCAGGCGAGTGGGGGTGTGAATACGGGGACGGGGGGAGAAGGACCTCTGGTTTCTTGGAAACTTTTGGACTGTTGCTGTGGGAGAGGGTCTGAGGGGTGGGGTTGTCTACAGGGCTGCGAGCCGAGCCGTAGACCCCAGAGAAGGGGAGGAGTCTCACTGATTTTTCTCCCCACTTTACGCACCCCTTCCATTTTTCACCTGTCCATCACTCCAGTCCTTGTTGGGGTTAAATCCCTTTCTTGCTTACATGGCTTTAGGTGGTATTAGTGGGTTTCTGAACAGAAAGATTGTTTTATTCATCTGCCTGCTTGGTTGGATTTCAGTTGTTACTGAACATACCACTGCTAGTAATAATATTGGAAGGTAATTTTTAAAAGGGTGGTGGTGGAAAAAATAAATAAATAAAAGGGTGGTGGTGATGCTGGGAGGTTTCCTGTCCAGAATTTTATTAAAGCTTCACAATAATTCAGGGATTGTTGCTATTGTTTTGCTTTGAGCGTTTTTTGTGATGGTGATTTTTTTTCTGACTGCATTACTTAATCCTTTATTTTCCTGTTTTCCCGAATTTTCCCGACTGTGGTACTAACACAACGGCATATACACACAGTAGTGTGCTTATCTGCAAAGAATTATGTTTTATTGCTGTTTTTGCTGCATGTTATAAATCAGGGCATGTATTAAATGCCTTTTTCATGCTCTGGAGACTACACTGAGTGCTTAGAATAACATGGAAAAACTACAGGGACAGATGGGAGTGGTTAACAATTGAGGGTCTAGTCGAATACTAATTAATTTAGTGTTAAATATAGAGGGAATCCAGAGCGTTAAAACTGGAGTTAATTAGAAAGGGTTTTTGAGGTAAATTTTATTCAGGTTTTATTTATTATTTTTTAATTTTTTTTAATGTTTTTTATTTATTTCTAGGAGAGAGAGAGAGACAGCGTGAGCAGGGGAGGGTCAGAGAGAGAGGGAGTCACAGATTGAAACAGGCTCCGGGCTCTGAGCTGGCAGTCAGCACAGAGCCCGACGCGGGGCTCGAACCCACGAACCGCGAGGTCGTGACCCAAGCGAAAGTCGGACGCTTAACCGAATAAGCCACCCAGGCGCCCCAATTTTATTCAGGTTTTAAATAGTGGGTGTTGAGGGTTGTTGGGGGAAGAGGAGGATGTCCTGGGGTCAGTGCCTTATGAAAAGCTTTGAAGGCACTAGTAGATATATACATAATATCGGGTTGTTGGAAAAATAAGGATGCTAAGATTGTGGAAAGGTAAAAAAGTTTGTGGTGAACTACTCTACGTATGAAGAACTTGAAGAATGGAAAGTGTTTCTCTAAAATAAATACCCCACTGGTTGAATTAGGGCTGTAAGAGAGGTGATCCAAGTTAGTTCTTGTTCTCCTAGACATTATGGAGAATAATTTTGCATTCCCAAGTAATAATATATTCACACTAGCCCTAGAACTCAAAACAAATTTGAAGGGGCCACTGGTGCATGGCTAATCAAGACATGACTGTGTATCTGCCTAAACTATAGATCTCAGCCAGCCACTTTGTCAGCAATTACTGTAGTTGAAGTTAAGATACTGGATTTTAGAAACTGATGATAATTAGTACTACTTATGCAAATTTGAAGAGTTTGTGTTTGCAAATGTGTTAGAGGAGATTTGAAAATAAAATAATAGGGGCGCCTGGGTGGCTTAGTCGGTTAAGCGTCCGACTTTCGCTTGGGTCATGATCTCACGGTTCGTGGGTTCGAGCCCCGCGTCGGGCTCTGTGCTGACTGCCGGCTCGGAGCCTGGAGCCTGTTTCAGTCTGTGACTCCCTCTCTCTCTGACCCTCCCCTGCTCACGCTGTCTCTCTCTCTCTGTCTCTCCTAGAAGTGAATAAAACATTAAAAAAAAAAAAAAACGTAGTTAAAATTTCCTTTAAAAAAAAAAAAAAAAAAAAGAAAATAAAATAATAAATTATAAAGTGATATTTGTTTCACACTTTAAAAAACTTAAAAGCCAAGGAAAACAAATTTTAACCACAAGTCAAATGACACATTTGTCTGCCTTTTAAAGAAAAAAAGATTTTAAGTAACATCTACACCCAATGTGGGGCTGGAACTCACAACCCCCGAGACCGAGAGCCGCAGGCTCTACTGACTGAGCCAGCCAGGTGCCCTGATTTATTTGCTTTCTGTAACACTTTTTTTGCCCAAAGAACTAATGATGTTCATCTCACCTTGAGGCAAATTTAGCCCTTCTCTCTTACCTATTGTTGGCTTTTCATCCTTAAGCATTGTCTTTCTACTATGTTTTGAAGAGAATGAGGATCTGCAAAGGTTGTGTGTGGAAAGAACCAATTAATGGGATAATCTAAATCTAAAATTCATTTTATTGTTATACTTAGAAAACATTTGCAAATAATGTAGCATTTCAGATCACTTGAATAAAATGAAGGCGGGTGGAATCTGTAAGGCAGTTGATAAGGAGAGGGGGTAGTGAACAAATACTGAAGAAAGGAACTATGAATAGAATGAAAGAAGCAGTAACGTTAACTTGTATGAAATTAACTACAGTATATCAGTTAAGAAAACATAAGTAAACCAAAACACCCAACAATATACACGCAAGGGAGAAAAGTTATTTAAACAGTGTAGATGATTCAGCTGATCTAGTTACTGAGCTCATGCTCCAGAGTGAGTCTCCGTTTCCACGCGTTTCTCATTTCTCTGGACTGAATGAGAGGGGGGAAAAACCGGATAAATGGCCTACATTTATTCATATTTTCCCTGACTTTCTGACAGAATTGTCCAGGGTGAGTTTAACTATTTAGGATTTTAATCTAAAAGCTAGATAAATCGGTGCTCTTTCAAAATATCAATACTTTGGATTCCATGTTTGATAGTGGGTTTTTTTTTTTTTTTTTTACCTGTTTGTAGCCCTGTTTCATAACTTTTCAATTTGAACTGAATCTTGTGTTTACCTCAAACACAATTCCTTAGGGTCTGCATAGGGTGTTAATTAATGACTGTGGTGAGGACTAAGTGTGTAGACTTTTTTTGGGTTTGTTTTCAAGTTTATTTATTTATTTTGAGAGTGAGAGTACGGGCTGGGGAGGGCAGAGAGAGAGAGAGATAGAGAGAGGAGAGGAAAAATCCCAAGCAGGCTCCACACTGTCAGCACAGAGCCTAACGCAGGGCTCAAATTCATGAACCGTTAAATCATGCCCAGAGCCTGAGCCAAAATCAGGAGTTGGATGCTTAACCACCTGAGCCACCCAAGTACCCTGCCTATGGATCTTTGTTGTGAGGCTTATTTTGTGTTTCGATCTCTGGCTCTGTTGTGTTGCTCTATATCCTTTTTCAGCATTAGGTAAGCCATTCTGAAATTATGAGTCTCCAGGAACCTTCACTGAGGAAGATGTGCTAAAGTTGACAGTCCTAAGGTTGGCAAGGTGTATAATACACCTTACTGGGAAACTGAGCCCAAATTTAAGAAACATTTGTGACATTTAAAGCCAGTTATTAGCTTCTACTTCAGATAAGATGAATAAATTCCTCTCTGAAAGGCAGCTACTTTTGTTGTCTTTGAAATATATCAAAGCCAAATTGAGTGAGCTTGAAATATTTCTAAAATATCTTTTAATAGATTTAATTGTTTTGCTTATTTTCCTCACTAAGAGATACCCGTAATTGGTCTGTTTTCAGCAGCAGTAGACATCTTTGTTGAATTCTTAGGAGAATTAAATATTTTAATACTAATAAATATTAGAATAGTGTCTGGCACATAGTAAACTTTGCCTAAATAAACACGACTTTATTATTGGTTTGAATAGCCTGAATATTTTTCTTTTCTTTAATCTTGATGGTAATCTTGATGATATTGTGGTAGATGGTGGTATTGTTTTAAATATTTGCTTCTGTTCTCTGTGACAGGATTATACATCATTGCTCCATTAGTCAAGTGATTTGTTTTGGCCAGTGAAATGTTACTGGCAACAATATGCCATGTCAAGCAGAAGCTTTAAGAGCTGTCCCATGTTTTGCCATGTCCCTTTTCCCTTTGCCTACGGGATGGACATTTTAGGTCGGATTTTTTTCTTTTAGCCTAGATCCTGGAATGAAGATCACATGGAGCAAAGCTAGAAGCTGATTCTTACAGGTTATATAAAATATAAAGTGACTAAGAAATAAATCTTTGTTGTAAATTACAAAAATGTTTGAATTGTTGATTGCCTCAACATAACCTATACTGACGCTTTTCACACACACACGCACACGCAGATGAGCAGATTTTAGCACATGGACTGATGTATCAGGTCATAGGCTTTTGGAAGGCTGGAGACAATTTTTATTTATTTTTGTATACTTGACGGTACCTAGTGTAATGGCTCACATATAACAGTAAATGTTTATCATGTACATGAGTAAATATGTATTTAGAGATGTATGATTGTGAGGAAAAGCAGGAAGCCATTGGTAGTATTTCTATTGATAGCCTCATCAGTGAAAGCCAAGTAAGCACTAACCTACATAAATGTGAATATAAAATATCTAGAACCCATATTCTTTTCTAATGACTTGCAGTGGTCTGAGATTAGGATATTGATCTAAAACTCTGTTAACTTTTGGATTGAAGTTGTCTTATGAAGAGATTTTTTTTTTTTTTTAATCAGAAATTTCTTTGACAAGTGTCCTGACTCTTTTGAAAAAGAGGTAGAAATGAATTTGGGAAAGGGTATTCCCAAAGGAACATGAAACTTTTTTGGCATAGTAGAAACTAAATGTGATTATTAGACTTGCCTTCTGCAAGTTACTTTGCAGCAAGTTTTTAAAAGTTAATGAT